GTTTCCTTGTTCCTACATGAGTTCGTGCTTTCATCTTCCAGCACGGGGTGAATTTGAAACTGCTTAGAGACGACTGCTTAGGGATGAAGATGTCTCACGACTCAACTACCTCTTAACCAAGGTGCTCAATTCTGATCTCCATCAACGGCTGACGAGCACGATGGCAACCTCTCATCAGTTCATACATCGCTCCTTTGCGTAGGGCTGAGGTGAATATTCAATAATGTCCAGCAATAGAACTCTACATGTCCACCAACAGTGATGATTCCTTACTGAGTGGTAGACCCACGTTGGGTCTACCCAAACCATGACGTGCTTGAGGAGAGTCTCAACATTGGCTCCCACATTGCGGTGTAAGATGCCCCAATGTTGCCGGGTATATATTAGCATGAATCTAACCATGGTTAGATTTCTACTACATACCAGGTCGGGCATTCGAGCGTCCGATTTGCGCAGAGATTCTCAAAAACTCCAATGTATCCATCATCGGTAAGTGTTCGAAGGAAACCTGGGCGGCGTTTGGTGAATGTGTATTTCTCAATCTGGTAGGGGCTCCCAAGTTTCAGTAATTCAACTTTGTTCTGGTATTCAGCCGGCAGTGGCCATGATTTTTTCTTTCTGGTCTTGCCCTCCCAATAGTGTGCTGAGCCACCATGGCTCCAATGTACCTTTGCAGCTGCTTAAAGTCCGCTTGAATGTGCAATTGATCATCAATCTCGCACGGAAACACTCCTTATTAGGTACTGACCGCCGCATCCCCAGTTATAGAAGGTGCTGTCGGGCACTGGGCCCAAGCTGCCTCTTCTTCGCTTTTACCCCTGTCATTTGTTAGTAATTTTTCTAGGAATAGCACTGGATGGCACAAACATCAGAAGTTTGCGGAGGGAATACATCTTCCCACAACAACAATGGCGTTCTTCTCGCTCCGTCAGCTTGGATGCTAGGAGTCCAAGCCTGTGACTAATTGGCCAGCTGCAGCAACAGAGACTTCACCCCATCTAAGCCCAGTCCAACATGGTTAACCAGGATCCCATTCCTCCATCAACCACGAACCCCCCCTAGAAGCGCCAAGGTGAAACTCCCCATCCTCAGTCCAGCTGCACTGGAATGCTCTCGATCAACAGGGTCTGTCCTGTACGATGGGCTTCGCACACCACTCCAAAAGTGGACTGGCAGAGATGCCTTATCTGGGCAATGTCATATTGATAAGTCCAGCTCAGTAGTACTGGAAACCCACCCAGTATATTTCAACTTCGCTGGTTCGAATGCCCCTCAGAAGGGATTGTGAGAACACAAACCCCTCCATTCAAAGGAGGTTCGCGGTCATGGACATTGATCAGGAAAGCCATATGCCTTGTCCCGAGAGGGCGTGGCCTAGAAGACACAACTGAAAATACGCCTCGCGATGAGAATTAAGGGTACGAGCTGTTGGTACATCCTGAGGAGGTGGTATGGGGCAACGAACAAGCAACGCAATATGGACAAAGGTATATCCATCATCCATTGCGTGTGGAATTTGGAATTGTGGTTGTATCATAGGAATTCGATTGATAACCTGACTCGGCTTTACAAGGCAATATCAGTCATTCCATGTGAGATACTCATCTTCTTTGCTATGATGTCTTTTTTCCTTGCTTCGTCGTATTTCCTGCGCAATATCTCTCTCTGCTCTGCAGTAAGACGTCCAAAAGCGCGCGGCGTAAGAGATCACGATTAAATCAATGAGGCAGATTGGTATCGATGAATTGGACCAAACCAGCCATGTCTTGCGTATGGCTCAGAAGGACGGATGTGCTCGACATATTCAGTGAGGCCTCTGCAAATCCGAGGACTATCAATGGAGCATCAGCGGTAAAAGCCGTCGCTCTTCGTTGAACGTATCACGGGGGGGATACAGAATGTGCTTTTGTTCGCACCTTCTGCGGATGAAGATTCCACGGCAATCTCGGGAGATTGGAATCAAACGTCGCACGGTAAATTCTGGGGCTTTGTGGTACTACCATGATGTGCTAAGAAAGCATTGGTTAAGACTAATCAATCAGCAAAGTCTAGTACAGTTATAGGGAGAGATGAGTAATAACTTACGGCATTTTGTAGTTTGTGGTGTGGGTTCAAGGAAGTCATAAGGTAGTGATTGATCAGACAGTAGGCTTTGACTAGTACTCCTGAGAGTACTGGTATTCTCATCACAGAGTTGCTATAGATATTCAAAGTCCAGATTGAGGGTTGGGCGTATTGGTCGCCAGTAAAACACTTGAAGAACAATCCTGTTAGCGATAGTATGTTTGATCTTTCTTCAATGGCAGCTTACTGTTCTTGAACGAAGGTAGTGGGAGAGCCCCATTCTTTAGCCGTGCAAAAGCTTCGCATGCCTCTTGCAAGCTACGTGGCTTGCGAACTCGTCATGAGGGAGGCACTTCACTGACTTCCATGTCTGTTATTTAATGAGATGCCGTTCTAGGAGAAGCAGTGCGACTGGTCCTCGCTGCAACGGACGTGTCCCCTGGCTTCGACAGGCACGGATAATAAGATATTCTGCAGGATCACGTCGCAGGTAGCAGATACTCGCCAAAGGTCATCGCTCCAGTTTTTCCAAAGAATACCCCCTCCCTTGACTCCATGTTTATGTCCCTGACATTAAAGTGAAACCGTGCAAGGGGACTAGGACAGGGAACAATAGTCAGACCTCAAACATGTGGCTACCAGACTTTGACTTGTCATAGTAAGTCTAGTAGGTGGTGCTACTGTGTTGGGATTCGCTCGTACTCCGTTGGATTCGCGAGCCTGAATTATAATACCTTGTCCATATGACCTCTAAAAAAGCGAGATAATTGGAAATAAAGGTGTAAATGGTACTCAGTTCCTCACTGGACGTGTCCCCACCAGCATACCCTGCGTGGATATTATCATGTCTCTGCGAGCGGGTACGTCTCTCTGCCTAGGTCCGCCGAAGGTCAGAATACCTTTGGCACAACCGACCTGAGTCGTCCCTCTGGCAGGGGAGTGTCACGGGGAGCGACTTCGAGGCGTAATCATACCACCCGATGTCTCTCCTGTCAAGTCTGATAACGGTATCCAATCGGTTTAAGTCAGTGTCAATCCGGGGAGATAACGCCATTATACCGACAACCAAGTCCTTACTGGTTTACGCCAAATCTCAACCTGGCCTTTCATCCGAGATTGGCTTATTGCGTTTCACAATGACGAAGACTTTGACGTGTGCGGCCGCGCCAATCATCCAGAGACCCTTGTCGGGCGTAGACAGGGCTATGACTGAATATCCTACTTCGAAGAAATGGTAGGCAGCGGGGACCCCGTAAAGGTCTGTTTCCTTGAACGGCAGACTGTATGGAGCTGCAAACGAATCGAAGCCTACAGAACTCGGTTAGATATGCAAGAAGCATAGAGACGTAACCTACCAGTGTTGATCATGAAATCCCCCAATTTGTCTGAAATCAAAAACGCCGCAGCAGAAGCCCGCGGGATCTCGTAGGTCAAAGGCTTATTGGGCCGCTATTGCGGATCGCTCCTGGTATTGACTGTAGCATCCCTCCTCCGACCACTGGTATGGGAATCGGAGCTTGTTTCTGATAGTACGCAGCTCAGCCATGAGGGCTCCGACAGGAGGGAGCAGTTGCATTAGCATTGGGGCTTCTGGGGATCTCATCTTCCTGCGTCGGGAGTGGCTTCGCAGAAACCGCCAAGTTTGGCAGCACCGGCGTATATTCACCAGCTGTGTCATGGCATCTTTTGTGGTCGATGCTAGCCACCTGGTCATGGGGAAGAAGCGCGGCCTGAGATGCTGTGGCAGAAAGATCCAAGCGAGAGATATATAGCTGGGTTCCTTAGCAACATGGGTTATCAGTGCGTGTCTCACTTGATGAAAGGAGGAGAAGTCTCTGTAACTTTTCCTTTAGACCCTGCGTTGTCATTATGCAACTATCCAGCTTCCTCACGAAACAAGGAGAGAGTATATTGAAAGAATTGGATATTGCTGGTTGAGAGAACCAAGACCACCAGATGAGAGCAGAAGTGGTAAGATCACCCCCAGAAAGGATCAAGCTTTTGGTGAATAATTTGACATCTCACAAATGAGCTTGATTCACTGGTAGCATTAATCAGGAATTCTGCTTCACTATCCTACTATTGTTCAGGCTACTGTGAATACGAGGCTGATAATCCTTTTGTATGCGCGATTTTCCCTGACAAAATGCCTCATCCAAAATAGAGATAAAAGCGATCTTCCTCTTGACTGAACCAGAATATTTTTATATATATACTCAAGCAAACCTCTCTCACTACATGTAGCATGTCTTCATCCAGATCCCAAGACAACACCCCCTCCTGCTTCACCGACACCCACGGTGTGATCACTACGACGACCAACGACCTCCCCGGCTACAAAATCACCAAAGTCCTTGGAACAGTCTACGGCCTCACCGTCCGAACCCGCAACTGGGGCACTGATCTCGGCGCGATCGTGCGCTCGTCTGTGGGCGGCGAGCTCCGTCCGTTCACCAATCTGATGTATACGTCGCGGAATGAGGCCGTCGAGCGACTGGTCGGAGAATGTATGGGGCGAGGCGGGAATGCAATCGTGGCGATGAGGTTCGATGTCTCGAGTATTGGGGCTTGTTCGCAGGTGTGTGCATATGGGCCTGCGTGTGTGGTGGAGAGGATTGAGGGGTAATGTGCTAGCCTGGCTTGTTTTTGGTGATAGTCCGACTCGAATAAAGGTTTACTGGTCGAAGGTTTCTTGCGGGGCGTCTTCATCAGAATGGTCCTGTATAGGTATATAGGCTAATGGGGCTCTTCGTCTAGCTCCGGCTTACATGCGGATTGAACTATGAGATTGTAGGAAAAGAATATGCAAAAGGATTGAACAGTGGCTGATCCGGAGACTGTAGCTTTGAGACGTTATGAAAGTAAGGGATAATCTGAGTTTGATAATCGCTGATGATACAGGTCTGATGTCCAGTCTGCATTTCTCACACACTGAATCACATCCAAAAGCTTTGACCCAGTGCACCGAATTTCTCATCATCCTCTGGGCCCCATTTCAAATCTTGAAAGTCCCGATACAGTGGAATAGTTTCCGGAGGTAACGTCAAACATGACTGAAATGCGAGATGCTGCGTGAGCCGGAGGAGACCCTTTGAATGCTCCCATCGCCGAGCTGATACACGCAGTGCAACACAAAGGCTGACAAACGCCTCTTTGCTCTCTGGTGTAGACAGATCCTCCAGTAGAGTGAGCAGCGAGATTGTTACCCACTGGCTGAGGGGCGCAGAAATACGATCCAAACCCCATAGTCGTCGACGAAGTTCAACTAGCCGAGCTACTTCACGCGCCGCTTCAAGGCGCATGGCTCGGGCTCTTGCATTTGAGGGGGTACTAGTATTGCTCATTTGTACACTTCCCGAGGACTTTTGCGAAAGGCCGTACAGTGTGATCATGATTGTGTGGTAGTATGTGCTATTCCCAATGAGTGACACGAAGCATTGTCAAGGGTTCGATTGATAACACTCACTGGGTGCCGAGGACCTGCGGAGAAGACCTCTCGGTATCACTTGGTCGCATGCAGGACGGTGCATGGGCCTTCCAAGCTTCAAGGCGCTTCAACGAGGCTTCAACACTCTGATTCACAGCCTCAGGTGAGAGATCTTTCCGATCTCGGGAGAGCAATCGGCATATGTCATTGACAATCAGAGTCAAGTCGCAGACGCAATTGCTTAAGCATGATTCATTGCTTGTAGTAGCTGGCTAGGAATTCGGATATGGAGCCCAATGCTCGCCCGCGAGACCTTCAACGTGGAGCACGAGCGGGCGCGCACGTTGCGGAATCTCAACCAGTGGCCGGCGCTGGTATATGATCAGATTTGCCCTGGATATTATTGCCAATAACTTAGAACCACCTGGTCTGACGTGGAGAGTGCTCGATCATCCCACACTCACAACCAAATTGTTATGTTACAAACATTGTCATACTGTTGCTCATCCCCGCTGGGTTTTGGCGAAGCAGATGGGTTAGAAGAGGAGAAGTTGCGTAACGCGTCCAATATTCGACCCTCATACACTCGAGCTAGACGGTTGTCACCGAACGTACACGTGCTATCAAAGGTTAGACGCAGACAAGTCTTAACAGAAAATTGCGGGCGAGGATAACAGATTATCATTCTCGTTACCATCTCCATAGAACGGCTAATCCTTGAATAGTGGCCAAGCTGAGTCGCCCCTCCTCCTCGTGGAGCCTCTGTGCTTGCTGATAAAAGCATTTAGCCAGAGAATGAGATCTGTCGTTCGTGTAGCTTCCGTTTTCGGAGTGAGAATCGTCCAGTAGTGCCTACGGTTCCGTCATAAGGATCATCAAACCAGGGAGGAAATCAACGGATCACTCACGCAAGCGTCGGCTAATATCGCATTCACCAAGAAGGGTGAGCAGTACTGACATACCACGTTTCCCGCCCGCATGTCTCGTACAAATAGGCTGCGGTCAATGCACGGAAACGTGGAATGATTCCAAGTAAACCACAGCGACACGAGCTCCGAAACAAACGCGCTTCTGCACTGGATCACCGTCCATGGCTTCGCGGGAACGTTGAAAGGGCGAGAGTGAGCGACCCGCTGTGTCTTCTGTGACTCAAACGCCGGCCCTTCCAAGTCAAGAAGAAGATGAATTTGACGCCGGAACTCCTTCACCTCGGACGTGTCTTCGATTGTACCCAGTTTCAGATGGTCCGTTATATACTCGCGAATTTCTTGTAGTGAAGCATGACTCCGAATCATATTCACAAGGTGCGAGACATGGCGTTCATTGCTACCGCGAAGAGCTCTCACGAGCTGGATTAGAAGCTCTTGGTCTTGTTCCATCATTGCTGCCTTGCGCTTCAGAGCCCCTTTTCGTCGCAGATCATTACCTTCGTCAACAATGCATTCGACTCCATTTTCGAAACAGCGTGCACAAGGCCGTCCACTGTCACACTGTGTCCAGTCAGTCCTGGCTTCAAGCAAGTCAACGGAAGCTGATATGGAGGTATCATTTTGATCACTAATTGATAATCTTCAGCGCCTGAGTCAGAGGACTTGCAATTACCTTTTGTTTTCTCTCCCGGCACGCGACACATGCTCTTGTTTGCTTTTGCCTCGGTGGTAGGAACATTGCGCCTTAGATTAGCTAGGATAATCAAGAAACAGCCTGAATGACTTGAACTTGTGAGAAGTTAGCGCCTGGTCCATATGGACCGATGGAGTGCCTGATGTTTTGGGACTTGTGGTTTGAAAGATGGAGATGCAATCAGAAATGGGGTATATCATTGTGGCAAGGTGGCTGATGTGTGACTGTATTTGCCGCATCTCGCCCCAACCCTGGATGGAAGAGGTAGATTGATAAACTGCGTAAGACCAAGAACCCCTAACAGCTCCAGCTGGCATTAGGTGGATGGATGAAACTTCCGATGCATCATCCCCTTGGCTTGTGGAATCGCAGATCATTGCGTCAGTCATCCTCAAAACTTGGAGCTGACAGCTGAGATCGGCAGGACGTAACAACCAATGACTTTTAGGCCCCATAGTCCTCAATGAGGGATTTATGAGACATGACTGTCATAGCCTTCACGGCCCAGTTAATGACGGGTTATTTGTTCTTATGTTGGCTCCGCGTCCGTCGCGTGTCTTTCGCTATTCAGAAACCGATACCTTTTGAGGATACTCACCCTTTTTTATGATCTACCCATTTTCTATCCGCAATGTCGGATCCCTTCAAGGTCCGTTCCTTGGCTCCAGCATTGAGCTCAGGTGGCCAAACACTGACGGCGAAACGCACATTGAGATCAATTCGAACTCGTCGTAACGCGTCCTTGTCATGTTCGGCGTGCAGGCTTCGGAAAACAAAAGTATGTGTTTAATAGACAATAGAGTGGCTCCTGTTCCTGCTAACCTCTTCAAACAGTGTCAGGGGGGACCTCCATGCGAAAACTGCGTGAAATACCAGACGGAATGTCGGAGAGAGGAAGACAAAGATGGTCGCCGACAGAAATCCCTGAAGCGAAAGCTTATCGAACTTGAACAGGACCGCGATCTTCTCGTGCGCCTACTCGACACCATTCGCGACGATGAAGACATAAAAGTCTCTCAGCTTCTCAATCTCATTCGCAACAATGCTCCGCCAGATGAGATTCGACCTTCGGTCGCAGATGGAAGGCAGCGGTCGAGACGCAGAATCTGCCCCGATACTGGCCAGGCTGTAAACAAGAACATTTCGTCTGCGCATGACGCTATTAAAACGCGGCCTCGCCGCAACATAATGGCAATAAGGAGCCTCTGTGACACCCCATAGTCAATGTGCCGGCAAAGCTTGGACATCAGTTACTGACGAGGATGATCTTTGTCTCCCACTCCATGTCGCTATCGATAAGGCCGCCTCAAACCGACCGCTTCACAACCTTGCACCCTGTACCTTCATCAAGGAGATCAATTCCCGGCACATACAAAGTTCTTACTTTTCCATTGACCGACTTTAGCGGCATTGCTGCAGAAGCATCGACCCCGTTATACGACGATGAAAGCCTCCTCTCAGCTCCGGGAAAGGGCAGTCAATCTCCACATCTGAGATTACAAGACAATCGCACCACGCGGCGGTCTTCAGTTTCTTCTATAAATCTTAAAAGGCACTTCCAAACGTTGCGTTTGTGCCAAATAACCCGGGGCGTCGAACTGTTCAGCGTGAGATAAGATTCACGCAGACTTGCTCTCGATAAGATTGTTCTTGATGAGTTCGATCTCGACATCAACAAATCCCAGAGACGTCATGTATCCTTCGCCTCCACCATAAGTCAAGTCAAGGTACACAAGGAACGCTCTCATGACCTCTCTTGGTGCCAGGAAGTGTTTCTCAAGATTCTCAGGTGGACGACCATCAAAGATTGGAAGGCCAGGAAGTCTCGCACTCTTCTCAGGAATCAGTCCCGCAATTTCCGCCTCAGAACGGTGGTACTCCTCGATGATATCCTCATCCGACGCTCCCAGCAACTTGAGGACAATTGCAATGAAGACTCCCGTCTGGTCCTTCCCCAAGTCATCGTAAACAAGAAGTGGGAGGTCGAACCCATCCCGGATGTGTGCAAAAATGGCTCTGTACGCGGGCGCAGACACGGTACAGTAGTGCTCATAGATCACCATGAAACTTTCGACTACGTCATAAGAAAGTCGGTTGAAATATTTAAGGAGTGTTTTTCGGCTCTCTTCCCAACTGACGGCGGGAATATGCTGTATGGTAATGCCTTCGATGGCAATGGTTGGCTTGTAGTTTTCGTCTGAACAGAGGTCGAAGATGTTTCTGATACCGAAGTGATCTCGCAGGGTCTGAAGTCCAGCTTGGGAGACATTTCCCAGGTTGGCTGAGCGGAAGAGAAACCCTCTTCGCACAGATTTGTTGCCAGACAATTCGTAGCCTCCAGCGTCTCGGAAGTTGTATAAGCCTAGAATCTGAGGAGAGGAGGATTCCTGTTCCGGCTCCTGACTCGAACCGCATAGCTTTCCCTTGATTGTACTAAGATGAAGGTTCTCTTTCATGTTGTTGAATTTGTCTATGAGTGTAATGGTGCTGCTGGAGATGAAGTGGTGACGTCTGGTCGGTCTAGCAGTCTGCGCCGACCTTTATACACCCCTAGCTTTTGAAGATCCTCTCAAACTATGTTGTACCACCTCGCTGGTTTTCTTTGTGGCAGTCGCTGCGAAGGAATCCAATTCAACACTCGACCTGCTTATACTCGGCAACAGTCTTGATTGACGTACCCTGCACGCGTCAGATGTACAGTTCCAGGATACTAAATCCCCTGAAGTTAGATAAAATCCTACTAAAATTGCTGCGTACAGTGACGATATTTGAAGATGCCGTTACACAGTGTTCCTCATCTCCGTCCTTATGATATCTGAGACATTGTCGTCCCCCTTGCTGACCATGACGTACAGAGGAATGTGGAAGTACATACCAGAGGATGCCTGACAGATATCGCTTCTCACCCTTCGCAGACTGCGATTATCTTCGGCAGCATCCCAGAGGCTGTCTCTCCCGAAAGGTCCTGACCGCATCTTCCACAATGCAAACAGTAGTTACGTGGCCCGTCCCGCAAACTGGGGACAGTTTGGGGCGATTTCCTTGACATTAACTTCAAGGATTGTCGCTTCAATATATGAGTTGACGAATCATGAAACATATTTCGTCCGATAGAAAGTGCGAGCTCTCGACAACCCGTTTCGCCATAGTCAGGAGCCGAGAGTACTTTCTATCACAATGACTACAGTATCCAAGAAAGTACTAGATACAACAATATACAATGTAGATGGATATATGCAAAGGCCTGATATTTCGTACTAATAATTGGGAAGATCACTCTGTGCTCAAACTAGAAAAGGTGAGACACTGGATAACAAGTGTGAATGTACTCTGATGATGCACTATGTAAGAGCCCACTCTCACTCTCCAATCTACCTCGCTACAGTTACCTGCTTTCTATGAGGCAGAATTTGCGAGTTTTCTCGAAATGGCTCACACCAGCAATATCTCAGAGCCCAACAAAACAGGTACTGAAGACGGAAAATTGGTCGATTTGGCGCGTTTCGATGCAGAGGACGATGAGACTGCTGTTAAGGCGAAGGGGCTCGTCCACAGGTACTGAAAAGACACGTTCTTCTCGTGCAAGTTGCAAAGGTCGACTGAAATAGAACCAGCCAATTCCTCAACCCTGCATACAAAGATCTGTCCATCCTGCGGCGACAAGGTCTTCCCAGCTCATCGAATCATTGTCTGTTCTCCGTCAAACTACTTCGAGTTGTCTGTAAGGCAAAGTTCGAGGTACCACCGTCCTTGTCTACAAGACCAGGGATTTTGTGAATCTAATCTGACAGCTTTCGTACTTGTAGGGAGAGAAAGCGAAATCAAAATAAATGACCGGTACGCGACCTTGGTGAGAAAGATGCCGCAGTTTGTCTACGGGGGCGACTATACTTGTGATATCACTCCAGAGACAGGAGAATCGGGGTCACCTATGCATTTATCCCCCACTGTCGACGCGGAAGAAAAGAAGACCACCTGAGCGATGTTCCTGATTCATAGTTTCATGCTCGGATATACGCCCAAGGCGACTATTTTCAGATCGAGGGTCTAATGGCTACGGCGAAGGGACGCTTTGAGAAGACATTCCTCAGCACCTTAGAGAAAGATTCCTTTGTCGCGACTGTTGTTGAAGTGTACACCTCAACAGCAGAGAATGATCGGGGTGTCAGAGACATTGTCGTCCAGCTGACGAGAAATAACCTGCCACACCTGAGGACTGGGCAAGATCCGGTCCTAAGTTCTCACTTTTTGCAGCGTATTCCTCAGTTTATGTTGGACATTTGCTTTCCACTATGGACGAATGTGCTAGGTACCAGACGGACAGTCAGCCTGGGCCAAGCAACAATCTCGTTTTTGGGATAGTCGAGGATAATTGATTACTTGGCCATGATGGGGTCAGCAGGGCTTGGGGATGGTAAAGATTTGGACGTGATAGAACTTCAACTATACCACTTTCCTAGTTAAAGTGATTCCCTTGAAGATAGTACACAATAATCCAAAATGGATCAAGAAGAACGAAACAGAAAGGTTCATTGTTACTGTCAGTAAAAATCCTCATTACATTGCAGTAGAAAAGACACATACTAGTTAACTAAGACATTGTCATCAAGGACTAAGGTTAGGAATAAGCATAACTTAACTTTATTATACGTCGATATAATGTATAAAACTGAACACGCTCAGGTCTAATACTTATCCTAGCATGCATGTCTCATTGATAATGCTTCAGAAATGCGACCATGTCCCTAATAGGGATCATATTACCCAACCACAATCTGACGGAGACTTATAGTAATGCTGACACAAGGTGGAGAACTATACTTGAAGAACCCAGGAGATACACTGATGATAATATAGAGTAGCGACTGGGATGAGCTATATAAAGGGTAGAATCTCCTGCTATATTCAAAGGAACCTCCCAATCAAAGCATTCTATTAAATCAGTTTACCACATCCTCTCACCTTACCAGCAAGAGTCTCCACATAACCATCAAGACTACCTTATCCTCCATCCTCACAAGATGCATCTTTCATTACTGCTGCTACCGCGGCTACTCTCAAGGTCAAGCTGCTGACAGCGACGGCAAGAGAGGTGAGGACAAGCTGGGAGACCTTCATGATGGATGTCTGAGAAAGAAGTTTGTGGAGTTTAAGATGTTTGATCAGTGAGGAGCGAGAGATGCACGAAGCAGCAGGGCCAGCAAGGGTTTATACTCACCTAGAGAGATGGGAATCATTTGGATGTAGATTAGTGAACAGCTGGTAGAATAAATCAATGGTTTCTTTCAAAGCAGATGAGGAGAGTGGCACAGGGACGACACACGTTCAAACTGGTCATCTTCTGTATATCATGCCTAATTTCATCAGCTGTGATGTAGAGAGTTGACTACGGATTGTCCTGCAATGAGCGCTTTAAATCCGATTCGCTCATAACACCTCCATGACAGTAGCGATCGAGCCAATGCCAACTCTAGTTAATTCTTGATGTGATGAGCTTGGGAATGACAAGCATCAGAGTGACGACTACACCAGGTATTCTATGAAAACAATAAAGGACGTTTGACAGAATCTATGAGATTCATCATCGATTAGATTGGTCTTGTGGGGGAACCTCTGGATGGATACTTGTCATCTCAGACTACATATTTAGGGCTTGATTGCATGTGCAATGCGTATTTTTAATCATTTAGGGGTGAAACTTAGCCCGAGGAGGATGATACGGCGCTTCCATCTTGCCTCGGGTACGGAGTAGATTGAAGGCTTCTCATTTTACCGTCGATTTTCAGGCAGATCCTGCCATTGTCTTCATCCTATCTTTGAGAATAGTTCTCCAGAGGTTCTATAGCATACTGTCGTCATCAATGTGGGGATGCATTTACCGGAATACGCGTCAACTCGGGCAGGCTTAGCTTCAATTAACCACGTATGTTATGTTTCCTCATTTTGACAATGATACCAGAAGCAAAGAAATGCAAGAGATGTGTTGAGGCGCAGAATGAGAGGTGAAATGGATGCCAATACTCCGTCCTTATATTTGTCTGGGAAGCGGAATAAGGTTGGGCGGACCGAGTGGCCAGACTCCATTCGCTGGGGCCACGTGCTCTGGTTGAGCAAGGATAGACACTCCTTTACCACATTTTTGGGTCGTTTGGAGCAAAACAGGGAGGAGGATTAGTGTCTTTACTATTATTGCCGGGGTCCAGATCCCATGCAGGATGTCAACGGCATAGCTGACCAATAATATCTGCTCTCTTATAGTTCCCGCCATAACAGGGAATACGAAGCACACTGTATTCGTATCCACTTCCCCATCCAGTTCACGAAGGAGACCAGGAAGGATCCTCTCACTCACTGTTAGAGTCTGCGAGTGTCTCTAGAATGTTACACACTGACGGCCACTTACCACTAGCTCTATCTAAGGAGGAAACAAAATGAAGATAGATCCATTGCATTATTGTCTGAATCTCTTCTTTAAACCGATACATCAAACAGCCATCCCTCGACAGATCCACCGTGGTGAGAATCATTTCCCAAATGGGCGTTTTTTCCCCGAAGTCGTAACCCAATTCGGCAAAGACTGAGAAGATCACAACGGCAGAGAAACTATGCAGCCATTGCCCCTGAACTCAGCAAGATCTTCATTCAGAGGGGACATCTTTGCCGACTACTCCGTATTAGATCGTGCAAAGATGATCAGTTTTTGTCATGGGCGACGATGGCACCGCGATTTCCTCCTTCTGCATCTACTTTCACCCCACCCACCCGCCCCTCCCCCAGGCCCTTGATCTTCACTTCTACACTATCTACCTCCATGTCCTGCAACGCAGTTCTTGATGATGGCAGACGCAACAGGCGCTGACCGCGGCTGGATTCTCTACGCGGTCTCGTGGCCGTTGTTCGGCGCCTGCGTTGTTGTCACCGCTACCAGATTCTGGGTACGTGTGCGCATCCTACGGAGCTGCGGCTGGGACGATGCATTCATTCTGCTTGCATTGATCTGTGCCACTGTCAATACTGTACTGGTAACTCTGAGTATCATGCATGGCACTGGGCGTCACATGCGTGATCTATCACACGAGGACCGAATCGCTTCAGTAAAGTATCAACTGCTTTCGCAAGGGTTTCATGTCTTGTCAACAAATTGGGGCAAGGTGTCGGTGGCCCTGTTTCTGGTTCGCATTATTTCGGGGGTGAAGCAACATAAGCGAGCCATGTATGCGGGGATGATCCTTCTGTCTATCATTAATATCGGTGGTGTCTACACCATCTACGGGCAGTGCACACCTACTGCAAAAGCCTGGAACGATGACATCCAAGGCACCTGCTGGCCAGCGGGGGCTCAGAAAGATTACGCTTTTTTTCAGGGCTGTACGTATGGCACGGACCCGACTTTGTCTTTAGGATGTTGCTAACCGGAGACGCTGTAGCTGCCTCTGCATTCAGCGACTTCGTTCTGGCGGTATATCCTCTCTTTACCATCAAAAATTTGCAGATGGCCACCAAGGTTAAATTCGGGCTCGGCTTCGTGCTCTCGCTGGGTATCTTGTTAGTCATAATTCCCAGCCTCTATTTCCTCTATGCTGTGCTCTAACGACGATACTAGCGCGATGGTGGCTGCGATTATCAAGACTGTGAACTTGGCGGCGCTGTCGGCTAAAGCTGATTATACGTGGGATACGCTCACTCTAACGATCTGGGTCGCAGTCGAACAATATCTCATTATTCTAGCCGCTTGCATTCCCTCACTCACGCCTCTTTTTAACATCATTGTGCGTCGAGTAACCAGCAAGCGGAGCAAATCCAAATCCACTCCCCACGAGCTGGGAACAAGTGACCGCAAATTGAGTCGCCCTCAACCCTACCTGCCTTTTGCAAGCGTAGGGCGAGACTACGTCGAATATCCGATGACCTGCGTCGGTTCGGCAAAGAATTCCAAGCGCCGTAGCAGTGACAGCGAGGCGCTCATTACGGTCGAGCCTAGTTCCCCGAATGGGATCCTCAAAACAACCGAGTTTCATGTTCAGGGGCTGGTACGATACGAAGGAAGGTGACGATTATTTCATGTATTTCAGATTATGTCAGACTATGTCAGATTAATGTCAGAATATTCATCGCATCCACCCATTCAGTCGCAATGCATGGGTAATCACGACTGTTTCCAAGGTACCTTGACATCGGAGATGTTGAAGTGCGCAGTTACGGTAATGTTATTCCACAACGCAAGTCTGGTGGTTGATATGAATCTCATGCATGGGCTCAGCAATGATGGGACGTGCTGATTTTGAGGCAATACAACTATACGAGTCTTGCAGAATAGGGAGATAACATGATTCTGGTTCATTTTATACAGCTATCCACGGGACAAAGCCGGAAGACCCGAGGGTATAGACCGTGGTTCAATCAAGGCTTGTTTTTTAACTCTTTTTGGGTCTAGTTTTGTGGTGTATGATGGGACGATCCACGGTTGCATTGCATTCCGCTATTTGGAGATTTCTGCGGGGGTTTGAGAATGGTTTATGTTATGTTGGCGAGTATCGTGGTAAAATCGTGTTATGCGCGAGAATGCCTACAAGTTAATATGGGTGTTGTTGCATAGTTCTGAGATGCATAAATATATCCAAGCTATTGAGTTGATGGCCATAGAGGACAATGCATGATAGATGGACTGAGATCAAAGAAGACCAATTGGTTCGTCTATATGGAATCGAAAAGATTTGTACAGTGGCGAAGAAAGGTAGCAAACAGTCAAACACAATTGTATAGCACAAATGAAGAAAAATCAGAAGAGCGACAAAATGGCCATGTTGTCCAATGCATCCAATGCTATAACACCATGGATTCTTACCAGAATCTGTACAATCATCAGCGTAATCCACTGTATCAAAAGACTGAGCATACCTCATGACATAAGGGCAGATAGACTCTCCACCATAGGAAGTCCAGATCGCCTGTTCCCTGACAGGAGTACCAGTGTGCGCAGCATTGATCATCCATCCGTCCCGGATGAAGATACCAACGTGGGAAACCTTGTTCTTGCAGTCGCCGCCAGTAGCCCAGAAGAGCAGATCACCCTCCTTGGCCTCGGAGCGAGGAAGCCGCTTGCCCATGTTCGAGTCGTACTGCGTCTGCGCCGTGCGGGGAATCGTCTTCTTCAGCGCCTGGCAGACGGCGTACTGGGTCAGGCCGGAGCAGTCGAAGCCGCCGCCGGAGGGACCCTTGCAGCCACCGCCGCCCCAGACGTAGGGCAGGCCCTTCTCCTTCTCGGCCGCGTCGACGATGGCCTTGCCGGATCCGCTGCCGCTGCCGGAGCCACCGCCGCTGCTGTCGTCGCAGTGCTTGGTGACGTAGCCGCTTGTACCGGTCTTGACGTAGTAATCGGCGACGTAGCAGCCGTCCGAGGTCTTGTCCCAGAGCGAGTCGCCCTTGACGTCGGTGCCGGCAGCTTGGCAGACAAGGGTGACCTCGTGGCCCCTGGCGTAAGTCTTGACCACAGGATGGTCGGTGCCGGGACCCGAGCGGCAGTTGACGCCGTCGCCGTTGATAGGGTAGGCGCTGACAGAAGGAATGATAGCTGCAAGAGATGCAGCGACAACGGTGAGGTACTTCATTTTGATGAGAGACGAGGGATGCAAACTTGGAATGAGTTTTTTGCTTGGAGGTTTGATGATGTTGTTGATGAAGACTCAGACACGGGCTGATCGTGCCTTTTATAGACATTGAGCCCTTGTTGTTGCTGCTTCTCCATTTCTGTGATGCTCAGGGTCTGTTGATCCGGAGAGAGCGCATCTCGTATTCCCGTAGAGTCCAAACATGAACTCTCGTGTTCCTTAGATTCAGGGTCCATGGGATGGGGCCAAGTGTCGTATCCGAGGCCAAGTTTAGAAGCGTTACATTGCCCGGCTCGTAATGCTCGTGTTCCTGGCATCGCATGGAGTAGGAAGCCACCAGGAGTTAAGCAGCAGGGCATGATCTAAAAATAGACCTAAAAATAGCATCCAAGAGAACACAAGCTCTGAAGCTTAACTTATCAAGGCCATTGTTCTCGTTCTTCTCGTGTTGCGGGTTAGTCTGCAGTCATCACAGCGAATCATGGCTGAATACGAGATCAGACCATCAAAATACCCCAGGGGCATACTTGATTAGTGTGAATTAATCTGGCCTAATAAACTAGTTCTACCGTATTATTTGAAGTTTTGAACCCCTGTTGTGTGGAGATTGATTCCTTTTTGAGAGTCATCCAGCGAGACTATTTGTGCGGGATTCAACACGATGCCTGCAGATAAACTAGGTCAAGCAACAAGCGAAGCATTCCTGATTTTTTGACTGGGATGCGAAGCTCTTGGTCCCTATCGAACCGGTTCTCGACTCCTTCCTGGATGCGATGCTACCTCGAGATAGAAAGCCTTTGCTCGTATTTTGATCAAGTGGCTCACTGGTAGCATGCGTATCTTCGTTCTGTTGAATCACCTGTTCCTGGTCGGTAGTATTGGTTGAGTAAATCTCTGAGAGACGATCTGTCAGTCTCGTTGTATTGTAAGCCAGATCTTCCTTTCGATGGTCATTGGAAAAGTCTGTCTAGTTGACGGCGCCAAATGCCTCCCCAAAGCGAGGCCCAGTGGTATCCAGGTTATTCTCTTGTCTTCATGACGAACAGCAGTAGTCAAATTTTCAGTGTGAAGCTGGCCATGTAGACTAACCTGTCACACATATTCAAGAATGTCTGCTCCGATGCTCGTCGTGCTGTACTGGAAAGTACAAGTTCTCCAGGTCTTCCCCCATTGTCGGCTGCGCATGTCCAAGTATAAGCAGTTACATAAGGGCAGTACTTGATAGTATGTTCAATAGTAATGATTCCATCCTTATCTGCTCTTAGAACTAGTATAACGTGGTCAATCGTGACCGACAGTCAATATCAGTCATATGTAATATCATGAACAGGTAGAATGGGTTAATTAAACTGCATCATCCCAAGCTTCCACAGATACATGTCCATCTTATGCGCTCTCGGACTCCCAAAGATGGTCGACTCCAACACACTCCTGATCTCATCGTCCGGGACTTCACAAAACCCCTCGACGCCATTCTTGAGCAGCAGAACCGTGCCAGCATTTTCCAGCAGCATTGCGGGCAACTTCCAGTCAACAGGCTTTGGCGCCATAGGCAATAGGTACAGCTGCAGCAAAGACTCGGCGTAGTCCTTGTCCAAGCGAGGAACAGGGTCTCCTTCGTTGATGATTGCATGGAAGACCGACTGGGAGTGGGAAGCGCTGAGAGCAGGTGCTGTTACTGGTGGCGATCCAAAGGTGATGCAGTGCGTAACGGCAAACTCTGTGCTTGTCAGCTTTGTTTACTCATTGATAGGTAAGTCCGACGAACTTGATCCCAGTTGACTCAATGATGATGGATTTTTGGAGCTCATATGCGCGTACAGCAAGGAAGCTACGGCTCCGCCAGCAGAATGCCCTGTGAAGAGTAGCTGCACGTCCTCGTCCTCAGCTTCGTGTACTCCAGCGTCCAAGAGAACGGAGGATATAGCGTTCGAGACCTTGTCAACCATTGCTTTGGCGCATTCTAAGAATCCACCGTGGACTTTATACTCGGTCTCATCGACGTTCTACCCCGTCAGCATGCATTCCATCGTTGATAGGACACTTACGATGTAGCCATTTCCGTCCGTTTCTTTCCCGATATCGTCAAAATTAATTGTCCAATCTCGTCTTATGGACGTCGACCCTCGTATCGCGACTACTAAAAGTCTTGAACCCGCTGAAGAGAACAAGTGCATCCGCGTTGCCTTTACAGTCCCATCTCGAAAAGAAGCGTCAATTTCTACACTGTGTTTAGTTGGCTGGTAGGCAGAGAACTGCTCTGGACGCGAAATCCTGCCCATCACGGCCGTGTCGGAAGAATAAACCTCCTTCGAAGCCCATGCCGCTATCCTGATCAGACTGGCTCGGTCATCGCTTCTGCGCCCGTCAGTCAGTATCCCGAAAAAATAACCGGAGAACGCACATTGCAGCTGGCTTGACAGAAGCAGGCAGCGAGCCATTGGTGTACCGGCTGATCTTTTCGACCTGCCGGCTCATGGATATGACATCTACGTCGACCTCTCCACCTACGCGGATCAGCGGACGAAACTCTGCAGGAGTGAAACTGAATTACCGCTCATGTCAATCTGCTCGAGATATTCATCTAGTCGGACGGAGAGTTCCCGCAGATTGCGCGACGTCGCAGCGGAATGATTCGACTGGGAGACGTCGGCGACCGAGGCGGAGGACTCGGCGGATGCCTCGGCAGCTGTGCGAGAGGATTTCTTTCGTATGAAAGAACTGACTACTTTCTTTGCGAATGACTGCTTCATTTTTGTGAAATGGTTGCATCAGCTTAGTTTCGGGATGGGAAACTACGCTGGCGGGGTGGATGAGTTGAGGCTGATAGAAGAGGACTGAAATGATTCCATCGCGTAGGACCCTGGACAATGGAAGCCAATCGCTTGAAATAACCATCGGAGGAGAGCTGGATACCTAGCCTCGTGAGGTTGCTCAAGGAATGCCGTTGAATGTGGCGTGCGGCTGAGGGGTCAGCACTCGTGATAAAACCGCGCCTTTTTGACACGAGCGAGAGTCCAGCAACCAGTCTCAGTATGTCGTCAAATGTATTTGAAAATCTACAGTCTCCCGTCTCATATGACGCCGAGATCGATAAAGGATGGCAGCTAATCTCAGAAAAAGGCGATAACCCTGTTATGAGAATATTGGAAGTTCTGCAGGATACGTATTGGAGAGCCGTGACGGATGAGATCGCCAATGCACTTTTAGCGTTTGACGACTACAAGACGTTTTGTCCCGACGGCTTGCCAAAGATTGGGGAGGATGAGCTCGAAAGCGAGTATCTCCAAGAGCTAGTGGACTTATGGGGTATGCCTATTCCTTGACATGCACCACGAATTGCTAACGCAGCCAGATCCACTGGGACTATCTGATGACAAGAAGAAGGATCTGTGTGAGAAGGTCCTGCATAATGTCAAAAGTTGATAGCCGAATCTTAACTGCCAGACGTATACTCACGCACTCATTAGGAAGGCAAGACTTATCAACTGACGAGCTGTTGGCTCGCTCCTTACTTCAAGCATGCGGTTCGTCTATCATCCACTACTGAGAGACGCACTGACAATCGTTGCAGGGTTGACGGATTATGATTTTGTGCAGGAGTATAGAAAGCCGACCTTTCCATCCCTGGGTCCTGCAGCTCAAGGTAGGCGTTAATATCGGTATACATGGACCTTTACACTCGATTGACGTATCCAGTTGACAAAAGATATTCCGGAGTATATCAAGCCGTACAGTGCTCGGAATGTCGATTCTGTATCCGTACGTTTCACTTCTACGAATGCAAGAAGGGTTGTGATGACCAGTAAGATGTTTCTCTCTTCACTGGGAGTACTGAAACTGAAGTGAGGCTCAGTGGATTCGTACGCAACCATGTTAAAACAGTCCCAGTGAGGGACGAGATCCCCCACGGGCTTCTCAGTACATTGATGTATCCGACCCGGTTCCGATTGTGTTGCAGTTGTATGGAGACGTCTCTCCATCCAAGAGATCACTTGAGAGTTGCATGGAGGTTCAAAAAAGCAGGAGATACAGAGAATCATCAATTCAGCCGTGAGTTGGATGCTTTGGAAGATCATATCAAAGGACAAAGTCTACTATCATTTGGGAATGTGTTTCTGGAGCATCTCTCCCACGGTGGTTTACGAAACAGCCTCAAATCCATGCACTCGCGACAACTTTTTCCGGCAGGGAACGCTCATTGTGCCGTGATGTTTGGCCCACTCTTGATTGAGAACGGGATGACGATGCAAGCACACTCCATGGTCCTGCCTTTGATATCTCTCTAACTGCAGTAGATATCCTGGCGGGGCGCTCATCTCAGTCCGACCGTTACCGTGTCTAGGGCGTCACTCGTCCCGGGAGGTCAGAGAGTTTCTCCATCCGGAGGATTTCAGGACTATCCACGGCTGCGATGTCCACTGCGCACAGCTGTACTCTGTATCTCCCGACCGCAGGGTGTATGAAGCGACCAAAAAGGTCCGGGATCGACGATTTCTCTGCGCCAGGAAGCAGCTCTCCGGCGGTCTATTCAGCGGGTTCAACGAGGACTTTCGGTGGAAAGCCGGAGAAGACCAAATCGTCGCCCTATTCCTCGCTTTCGCAGAGGCGTGGAGGACGAATCGATCGCCAGTTCAACCGGAAGCATACAATCGAGAGCTTCTACTGGGTTACGCATCGGCAATCACGCAAGTCATGCAGTTCTTTTTCGATGAGATTAAACTGCATCTCTTTATGTTCGCGCAAAAACTGGGCAAGACGCAGAAACTGGCCTACAGTCGGATGAGCAACAATTGCCAGGACTTTTGTAATGGCCTCGTCACCTACAAGGAAGTCTTCGTCTATTCCCCCTTTGATGTCATGTACCCTTTTCTACCAGTCTCTCTATCTCTGGACATTGAGAAGAAACCGGAAGAAGATTGCCTTTGCTACCTGCAGAGTTTTGTCAAGCCTCTGCAGTACCCGATTCCGGGATTCAGAAGCAGGCGAGCGATGCTCGGTTCGGCCATTAATTTGTACTCGGCGTCCGCCCAGAATGACGCCGACCTCATTGACCACGTGTGGGGTGTTCGCTTCGGCCAAGATCCTGATGACGACTCCTACCTGGGATTTTATACTGGGGATGACCGTGGCGGCGATCCGTACCTTCTCAAAGACGAAGAAATGAGCTGCTCGGATCGATTCGCAACCCACATGCTCCCTGGCCAATGCCAATCGAAGCGCTGCACCCTGGCAGACCATCTGCTGGACTGTCCGGTTGACAACCTGTCGGTCCTCCAAACACATTTGCTGCGCGCCCAGAAATACTATTACAACCGTAGAGGCGAGTTTCTTTCTGATCTCGGCACGAAAGCCTGGGTCACCAATCGACTCGAGATACTCGATCGACTCCGAGTCCTCAACGACTTTCTGGCCGAGATTGCCCTTCAGTTCCAGAACAGCTGCAAGGAGGTCCTCTCGCCAGGCTGTACCGTCAAGGCAGTGCGGAAGGTCTGGAAACCGGCCGACACGCTCTTCTCACGAGCATGGCATGGAGATAAACGAGTAGGAGACCGCCTGCACCCTGCACCGGATATTGATTTTGGTGACGGCGAGTTGAACAACTGGAAAGCAGTCGGGTTACTTACGCTGGGATTCCCACTGTTCCAGACGCATCGGCAGATGCTGGACCGGCGTGAGTTGTTCACGACCCGACTGAAGACACTCGCATCACTGCTTAGTACGAAAGTAGCCGGGAAAGGCGAAGTCTGGTCGCCATGGAAGTGGTGTACGTGCTCCGATTGCAAGGTGTATCGATTGCGCCATATTTGCTCTCGGATGGACTCGAATTTCATAAGTACCGTTAACAGCGACGGGGCGAAGCCCGTCATTCAGCCGGGCCATCCCGACTATGTCTCGCCTTTGGAAGTGCTAGATGCGCTGAAGGACGGGGTGTTTTGGAAGGACGCGCTGGATGACTGTCGATATGAGTTGGAGAAGGAGGTGAGACGTCATGACGTGATGGGATTGACATGGGAGAGTACTCTGTTGCTTTGCTTGAGATGTATTCTGGGGAGTGGTACCCTGCAAGACGTTCACGATCAATTGGAGTACTACAAGCTGGTCTTTGAGGAGGCGTCTAAAAAGACATTGCCATCTAGCCAGTTTGTTTAACCGTTATTAGATCAGGCAGTAAACACCAACTTGTATCCTGCTTCAGGGAGGATGACAACCCAGTGACGGCGAATGAAGTCATCCTCCACCCGAGCATATATAACCAGATAACCAACACATCTACTCCAACCAGCCAAACAACTACGACACAATCATCAGCATCAGCATCATCAAAATGCGTCCAATTCGAATTCCGATCTCTCGGTCGCTGAGACCTTACACCCGTACGTACATAAGTGACCTCCCCATCATCAACCAGCACTGATCTCAGAAATTAGACGCCCGATTCCTCGCCACAAAACCATCTGGAAATCCCATCTCCAGCAACCCCCAGGCTCACTCTATCAACAAGTCCCGCGGGAGGGAGACAGGGCACTCGGACGAAGCAGATACACGGTCGGTGCAATCCCCGGTCTCGATGCACAGGGCACAACCGTCGGAGGCGCACGAGGGCGAGGAGCAGACAAGTGCGGATGCAATGATCAAGAATGATCCCAACGAGCCGACAGAGAAGAAGAGGGAGAATGTGGAAAAGGTGGGGAGGAGGAAGATGGGGCCGGAGGATGAGCAGAGGTCACGTCGACCTAGGGTTTAGCAATATACACCTTACCTAGGTATTTTACTATGTACATTACTACATTAAGACCATCGAATGCAGACAATTTTTGATCTGACGTTGGGAGTAGATGAGTGTAAATGAATATAATAATATTGCATGGAGGGAGATGGATGACATCACACTTGCGTAGTCCATATCTTACCTCCTTCTTGTCTTCTTTTTTTATCTGACAAGGACCGATCAGGATATTTTAGAGGTGAATCATAATACCTCCTTATTTTATTTTAGCTCCTGACAAGTCGTGGATCTTTGCACCGGTGATGCCATTTTCTATTCTGCTACTTCTGCATCTACTGTCTGTAGATAAACATAACCGCAGAACTGCAACTCGACTCTCCTAAGAGCAGACACAAAATGGGTCCTCTATCAAGTTCTACATCAGACGATAAGCTTACCCTCAAGGATGCGGGAGGGAACAGTGTAAGCCTAAGCCTAAGTCTAAGTCTGCTGTCTACTGTCGATCGAAACTAAGAAAAATAGGCCCTAGGAACTCGACCGTCGCAACAAGACCAGTACACCATCCTCCTCCCCACGCAGAACCCCTTCAAGACAGACAAAACTCTTCTCTTCCTCGGAGTCTACGACGGCCAGTAAGTATCTACGCGATCATGAAATCGTCGAGGTAAGTACTAATCCTGCAGCGTAACATCGGATGTCTCCCTCCACGCCAAACAACACCTCCACCGTCTCATCCTCGAATCCCCCGACATCCAAACAGGCAACTACGAGAAAGCCATTGAAGACGCCGTCCAGAAAGAGGACAAGCTCCTCCTCGACCAATTCAACGCAGGGAACGAGGTGTTTGGCAAATCGGGCTCAACCTTCTCCGTCTGCCTGGTGAATCTCACCGATGGGGTTCTAGTCGTGGGAAACCTAGGCGACTCGCACGCTCTGCTCGCTGAGCACCATTCCAATGGCTGGGAGGTGGTGAGTACTCTTTATCTTCTTGTCAGACGGCGCTAATGCTATTGTAGAAACGCATCACAAAAGAACACAAGCCGGGCTCCGAAGCCGAAAGGGAACGCATCAAGGAGGCTGGGGGAGTCGTGAATCGGGAGCTCGGGTCCCCGCGAATAGGTATTTCCCTCTTCTCTCTTCGCGCATTCTGATGCTAATGGATAACCGCAGGCGCATTGAATATGTCCCGCGCGCTAGGTGACCTCCAGTACAAAGCGCCCCTGATCAACGCGGATGAGCCCTTCTCGCTCGAGCAGGAGATTGCCGGGTTCAACCCGGACAAGGAACAGGGGGATCTACTGTCTAATCGACCGGCCATCTCGCGGATTGAGCTCAAGGAGGATGGGAAGTATATCGTTATTCTTACGACGGATGGGGTGACGGATGAAATGGAGGATCGGAGGATTCTTGATCGGGTGGTGGCGCATTGGAATTACGGGACGCAGGCCGAGGGCGTCGCGGGCAAGATCACTACGGAGGCGACGGGAGGGCCCATGAGTGATAATGCAACTTGTGTTTGTGCTTTTATTTATGGGAGGAAGCATGATTCGGCATAGCATGGCATAGCATTGCATAGCATACGATGTGTTCAGTAACTCCTAAGCTATGAGACATGAGAGATGAATATACCCAAGCTGATTATTGTACTTTGCATTCATGCCATCTATAAATAACTCATGGGTACTGTTTGATATGCGAGAATCATATGCTTGATTAATATCAGCTCCACTTTTGAGACTATAAAATGACATCACACCAGCCCCGAATAAACGTCATTCTCTATCTGATAAACAAGATGTTCTATTTGATATGGGTCTAAGAGGCAGGTAGGATAATACAAAAGTCCTGATTGCCTGATCAATCTGCATGTGATTCTCCTTGTATAATACTTAACTGCGATCCATCACCCTCACCCTCACCCTCACCATCGACATACCCATTGAACGTCCTAACCACACAAAATGCCCAGCGTACCAGATCTCATCCCCCAATCCGACCTCAACAACGACAAAATCCAAACAACAGCCCCAAACTGCCCCGTCACATCCCAACGTTCCCCCGCAACATCCACCGCAACATCCACCGCAACCTCCATCCCCAACCCCGGCGTCGCACGCGCCAACGCCGCCATCTCAATCGACAATCCCAATGGCGACGCAGACTACATCGCCAAATACGGCGACTACGTACGTCCCCTTCTCCCTACTCCATAGAAACAACTAACAAGACAGACCCCACTACAACAACACGTCCTCTTCTGGGACCGCGACCACGATGGCCAGATCTTCCCGACAGACACATACAACGGCTTCCGGGAGCTAGGCTTCAACATCCTCTTCTCGCTGCTGGCGGTGCTGGTCATCAATTTGAATTTCTCGTATCCGACGCGGTTGGCGCATTCGGTTATCCCGGATTTGTGGTTTAGGGTTTATGTTGACAGCATATACAAAGCCAAGGTGAGTTTCCTACCTCTAGAGCAAGGATGGAGCTGATGAATGAACGTGAGCAGCATGGTTCCGATAGCGGGACGTATGATCCTGAAGGACGGTTCATCCCGCAGCATTTCGAGGATATGTTTGCCAAGTATGATTGCGATCAAGACGGGGCGTTGACTCTGGGGGAGCTGTTTGAGATGATGCATGGGAATCGGTGTGCGGCGGATCCGTTTGGGGTATGTCTGGTCCGCTTGATTTTGTTGAGAGTGAGGCTTACGGCTGGTAGTGGGGTGCTGCGTTCTTTGAATGGGGGACCACATGGCTGTTGATTCAGCGTGATGGACGGGTCTACAAGGAGGATTTGAGGGGGGTTTATGATGTATGTCATTTTCGAGGGGTGAAGGTGATGATGCTGATGCTGACATGCTACAGGGATCGATATTCTGGAAGATCCGTGAAGAGAGGAAGAATGGGGCTTGGAAGCAGGGGTATGGTGTTGGAGGTGCAGTCAAGATGTACTGATATCCATACATATCCTGATATCACAACTATGTACAAATGCATGATGTTACACGCTGTGCCTACTCTTGGAAAATTAACCCATTGGGGTGAGTGACCTTGGATTGCCTGTCTTCTCGTGGATCACAACACTGTACCAACCAGAGTCTTGAATGCCTTGACATCCTACTGAACCATTGCTTGTACTGCATATTGATTTGCATGTCGTGCTGGCATCCTATACAGACTTAGCCATGCGGGCCATCCGGGCCATCCACTTGGATCATTAGCATCAGGAGTTGATGGTTACTGTGAGAGGTCCAATAAGTGACATGTTTGATTACATCTGTGTGTACTGTATTTCGAAAATTTGCAGAAGTATGTAACTATACAGTACCATAGCCAGTCTTCTCCGTCCAATCTATAAATACTTCCAGGTCTTCTAGTTACCTAGTTCCTTAGGATGCATCTACCTTCATCCACTTGCCTTGCTTTTGCCATTGTCAATAGTAAAACATGACTCACTCTCACGACCACAGCCACGACGGCACCAACAATGGCCACGGCCACTCGCACGAGATCCTCGACGGTCCGGGTTCATACCTAGAACGAGAAAAGCCACTCGACGAGGGCCGCGATTGGACCGAGCGAGCCTTTACCGTCGGCATCGGAGGGTAATCCTATCCTTTGAGCTAGCAATGACCAAGCTAACTGACAGCAGGCCAGTAGGATCTGGCAAGACGGCGCTGATGCTCGCGCTCAGCCGCGCATTGAGAGACGAGTACAACATTGCAGCTGTCACGAACGACATCTTTACCAAGTAAGCCACCGCTAATGCCAAGACTCTGATGACTTCAGCTACAAGTGAAATGCTAACGGCTTCCAGAGAAGACGCCGAGTTCCTCACCCGGAATAAAGCCCTCTCGGCCGATCGGATCATGGCCATCGAGACAGGCGGGTGTCCCCATGCTGCCGTCCGCGAAGACATCAGTGCGAACCTGCTTGCGCTACAGACTCTGCACAAGCGGTTCCAGACGGATTTGCTCTTGATTGAGTCCGGCGGTGATAACCTGGCGGCGAACTACTCCCGCGAACTGGCTGATTTCATTATCTACGTGATTGACGTTGCCGGTGGTGATAAGGTCCCCCGGAAGGGTGGGCCTGGTATCACCGGATCTGACTTGTTGGTTATTAACAAGATTGATCTGGCTGAGGCGGTTGGGGCAGATCTGGGGGTTATGGATCGGGATGCGGCGAAGATGAGGGAGGGCGGACCGACGATCTTTGCGGAAGTAAAGAATGAAAAGGGGGTGGATGGGATTGTGGATCTGATTCTGAGCGCGTGGAAAGCCAGCGGTGCGTATGAGTTGAGCTTGAAGAGGTGGCAGAGCGGCGCTCCAAGGGGTTCTGGGTCGGTACACTGAGCTCTATGAGGTTAAAGGGGGCCAGTCAAGAATTGAATATCCTGCTGTAAAGAAGCTCATGTCTCCCAAGCCACAAATCAAGCATAGGAACCACCTGCCCTGCCTGTTCCATGCTTGTTCCCCATTCCCTCTCTATCCGCTCCAGAATCATATCCTGCAGACTTTGGCTGGCAAGGATCGACTGAGCACGGTAAGGCCCCATTACAGACGCCCGTACAGCAGCGCTGAGCACCGCCTTTGCATGATTCACCATAAACACATACGTCGCCTGCTCTACCGCCAACCCCATCGCCAGACTGACCGCGCCCCACAACGGCGCAAAGTGACCCTTAGCCCCTAGTTCATCCGTATTGCCATCGCTGCCTTTTAGAGCTTCAAAAAGATTCTCTAGCGCCTGCTTGGCTGTCTCTGCTGCGCTACTACCCCCGTCAGGGGCATACGCCTGCCGGAATGCCCTAGCCCATATGCTCAGCAGAGCCCGACCCTGGGAAACGCTGGCTCTCTGCGCAACGATACAGGTTGTTGCCGCGTCCATGTCATTGTCGATTGTCTCCAGGGCCTCGGGGTGCCTGTATGCGGCCAGCAAATACGGCAGAGAAGTACTCGCCGTCGATGCGATGGATAGACTCAGGAACGAGAGGAAAGCCGCGAGCGAGTTGGTCGACGAGGCGCGGAGTTTCGCGTGCGCCAGGTACGATTCCAGACCACTTGAGTATGCGAAGGACCCGAGTGGTAGGGCCGAGTCGGAGAGGAGGAGCAGCGCATGGCCTGGGACTAGATTCGAGGGGTCAATAGTGTCAGTTTGCGGCAGTGGTACTTGGTCAGTGTCAGCATAAATACCTCTGGAGAACTTGATATGAGATGGCAGTTCGAGGCCGTTCAGACGAGAGTCTGTATCCGGGGTCTTGTCTTCTGAGGGTTGGTCAATGGCACTGGCACTTGTCGCTTGGCACATGCTGAGGTTTGTCGCAATGCGAGAGATGATAGATGGATGCTGGATCAGACAGCGTATGGAAAAGGGTCTGTCTTATTCATGGACAGCACCTTCCCATGACTCTGTGCCATTCGACAGTAAGGGTCCATGTCACATCATGTATTGAAAATGAAGTACACACCATTCGCCGTATTTGCAAGACCCGGGATGTAAGATTTGATCGGCGTATGGAGAGATTTGCATTTCGCACCAAGAAGCTTGCCAGTGTTGGGATTGGTGGGATTTTGACTGCAGTAGCTTATTCTCACTCATGCTACGTCCAGGCAGCCAGAGCAGGCAGGATGCTGCATATGTAAAGTCACATTGACGAATTACTGGATGTCCACGGAGAACAGTGACAAATTTTTAATCTATCAATAATCCTCTTGCAATGGAAGTGACAAAAAGCAATATCAGTTTGAGAGGAGTCACAGTTGTATGTGCTATATCCTTGCACTCGTGCAGATACTAGCCGCTTACCACTGCAGGATACCACACAGACCGTCACTGCGTGCATCTACTGCATGTAAAGAAACTGAGAATAACTAGGTCAGGCAAGACCAGGCCGATCACCCATTTGCTATTGCTACAGAGGTGCAGTTACAAACACAGCAAAGCTTCTTCACCAAACTCTGCTGCAATGCTCCCCTCTTCCCGCAGAAGATCACCCAGCCACCTCTTCGCTCCGTCCACATCCTTTGCGCCAAACTTGACGATCACAAAGCTGGCTCGCACCCGCGCAGCAGTCCATACCGCGTCTGTTTCGACATTCGGCAAAGGCGGCGCTTTCTGCGAGGATGACGACCAGTTCTGGGATCCAATACGAGGCTGCGACTGAAATCGGTGCATGAAGAAGGCTGCCAGCTTCTCAAACACAGGTCCGTAGAGAATCAAAGTCCCGATGATGCTGTTCGATCCAGTGCGTTGGCGAATAAGGCCCGTGCCAGTGCTCGCGCACGTCTCTCCTGCTTGCTCTTCCGACTCTGCATCAAGTATGATCGAGTCGCGCAGCAGGAGCTTCTTGGCCCCCGTTCCATCCACAGTCCACACTTCGTTCTTCCCTCGCCACAGTTGGAAATCCCACTTCTCGCCCAGTGCGGTTCGTCCTTCTGTGACCCAGTCCAACACGCAGAGGCTACTGCGGTTGCTGGCCTCGGTTGCCCACTCCACGGTGAACATCTGGACCTGCTCATAGCGGCTGTCTTTGAATGGCACGTTCGGGTCGGGCAAGTAACAGAGTGCGGCCTGTCTCTCGATGCGGACGTCCAGGATTTGCCGGCTCATTCTGTGCAGGCCATTCGCGGGAACTGCGAGTCGGCTCCGAGCCTTGCTCGTGGCCTCTGTGCGGTAGATTTTGTTACATCCTTGCGGAGTGCTGATCACCAGTCTCGTTTGCGGGTTGAGGATGATGGAGACGGAGATTTCATCGCCGGGCAGCAGGCCGCCGCCGTAACTGAGGATATAGAGGTGGACCGGCCGGGAAACGCATGGCAGGGCGGATGACTGGGGAAGGAAACGGGGCGAGTGGGTGAGCAGCTTCAAGGGATATTTGTAGGATAGAGTTGTAAGGCTTGGGATGGACGGTGGAAGAAGAGTGAGGACGACCTCGCCATGGCCAGAGGCAACAAGAGAAGATTCAAACGGCGATGCCATTATGAGATGTACGCCTGGATGTAAACCTGTGGAAGAGGCTATATCCATACGCAACAATGTAGGGGAACTGTTCTTTGGACATATCTACAGGAGGGTTCTATCAATGCCTGTAAGAAGATGATCAGTGTGCTCTCATGTTGCCTATCGAGATCGGACAGGTCAGAACTGCACCAGATGGATATCCCAGTATCCTGTTCCTTTGCTTTAGGGTTAGAACTACAAGCTAGAAGTGTACTTGTCGACCTGCAGGCAAAGTATGGTCAACGTTGTCTATCATGGCCTCGTTGCACACGATCCAGATGCATCTGACGGATGACGTGGCATACAGCTTGAGCCCTGCATAAAGCGCCCATAGCTTACCTGGTGTGACAGTGTAGCTGACGTGCATTCCAAATAGCTGGCTTGACCGCTCGTTTGCTAGGCGATCATATCCTTTCAAATCCCTCTGCGATCTGCTAACGGCAGATCTCCCTTGGTCTCTCTCTGTCCCAATGATAAAGTTTATGCATCATTCGTGTTCAGGGCAGAAAACCCCTTGCCCTGCTGTCAAGCCCACCGATGTAACCTTTACCATCATCTGCACCAGAACACGTGCGATAGCAAATACTGCTAGTACAAATAGATTCCTTGCAAACGAACTGCTGCTCAACTAGAATACTCTGACATTTCATGCCGATAATGGCCGACAAGCTCCCTAAAGGCGAAGTAGAATTCGCAGCCGAGTACCTGCGAGCCGAGACGCGGCACCCCTGGGATCCCTCACCCGAGAAGCAGGACATTTTCGACCCAGCAGACGAAAAGACCTTCGAGAGCCGCATCCTCCTCGAAGTGGTCACCAACTACGTCGTCAACCATGGCAACAATCTAACCCACCATGGTAGCGTGCCGCACCATCCCCGCGGACACGCGATGGAGCTGGCCCGTCCCCTGGAGCCTTCCTACGAACGCTACAGATACCTGACCGTCATGGCAGGGCCCAGCTTCAAGAATATCCAGCGCGTGCAGCAGATCCACGGGTCGTCGGACTACATGGCTGCGTACAAGTTCAATACCAGCGGAATGATTGATGCTGCTCTGGTGCCTACGCTGGTTCCCGATGTCTGGAAGGACAACGATCGCCAGAAGACTAGTCCAGCCGAGTTTACTCCTGAGGATTACCTGTGGGTAGACATGACATATCCCCTGCGGGGGATCTACATCCCAAAGGAGCGCTATCACTGTCCGCGCTCGAACCGGCTCGTCTGCGTGTATACGCACGTCGACTTCCAGCGGAAGCACAGCCTAACGACATACACGTATACGCCCGAGAAAGACGGGATCCCAGACGGGGAGTACACGGCCGAAGAGCCCGATCTGCCGGGCCGCGAGAAAGAGCGGCAGAAACGTGAGCCGGACCAGTGGCCCGTTGGGTTCAGAATCGGCACTCAGGAGATGGTCCAGGGCGAGGCTTCTCTCGGCTGGGGCGTGAAGCCTGAATGGACAGCTCGGTTCCAGGTTGATGCCCTCCGTAAACTGCCGAACGAGGCTGATGCGCGTGAGTGCATCAAGCTTTTCGATAGCGGTGGCTTGGTGATTCGTCCCGGTGGGGAGACGAGATTGAGGGCGGAAAAGGTGAAAGCCAATCCTGTGCACACTATGGACGTGCCAGAGGTGATTCGGTTGCCGATTCCTCCTGTGTCATAGTGCCATAGCTGCAACATAGCATAGCTGGCGGGCTACTCCCTTTATGCTAGCTAGTGATGTCTGCTCAGCAATCTCATATCGTTGTCCACTATCTACAGTATCTCCCAAACCTCACCTGCTCTTGTAGGATCAAGTAGTGGAATGTTCTGGAGAGTAAGGAAATTCTAGTGTAGTCCCCAAACTAGCCTACATAGTACGGACTGTAAACGAGCATGAACTGCGATATAATAACTTAGCGTCATTCAATTAATATCGCCTCCCGAAACGGCAATACGCGTAGAAATCCACGGCCCAAGAGCTGGATACAAATTCCCACCCATGTTATGCACAGCATACCCTCTCCCGAATTAGAAGATGTAGTAATCCTGCGTAAGGGGTAATGCCGTCGCAGGAGCCACGTCGCACACTTCACCGTCGGCTCTGACTGTCTGCAAACCAAGCCTCGTTAATGTGATAATGGGTGGGTGGTCAGTCATGAATATGCCGAACTTACAAAAGTCTCCGGGTCAACCTCCATCTTGGGCATCTCGCTATTGTGCTTCATGTGCTTTTTGCTTAGGGGCACAGGGTCCGGTTTGGGAGTCGGCTGTATCTGCTTCGTGTCCACCGTTCGGCAGTGCTTGACGGCCTCGATGGTCTTTTTCAGGCCGTATTCCTTCTCGACCTTCTCTTTGGAGGCCTGCGAGACGAACATAATTGATGTCCGCGGTACGTGGGTCTACAAGCATCAGCGTCAGCGCATGAGCAGTTGGCAAATTGCGGATTGCTTACCGCGAACTGGGGTCGCATTATCATGGGCTCGATAGTCGGAATTGATCCGTTTGGATCGCCCTACAGAGTGTTAGAGACTTGCCAGTTGCACTTACAACAGGGAGCTTACCCCTAGAGAGACCGCAATCATTCCACTCTTCAACACCTGCAGCGGCTTGGTCCCAAAGCTGCTTGGGCTCCAAATCACCAGATCGGCCACCTTGCCCGTTTCAACGCTTCCGATCAGATGCGACATGCCTTGCGCAATGGCAGGATTGATCGTATACTTGCTAACATATCGCTTAACGCGGTAATTGTTCACCCGGACGTCATGGGGGTACTTCTCTCTGTCTTCGGGTAATTGGCCTTCTTGCTCGTTCATTTTATGAGCTGTGTGCCAGGTACGAAGAATGACTTCCCCGACTCGACCCATCGCTTGGGAGTCTGAAGACATGATGCTGATCGCTCCCTTATCATGGAGGACATCCTCGGCGGCAATGGTTTCGGCACGAATGCGACTCTCCGCGAAAGAAACGTCCTCGGAAATCTCCTTTGACAAGTGGTGTGCTACCATCACCATGTCCAGATGCTCGTCGACCGTGTTCAAGGTGTACGGACGCGTCGGATTCGTGCTTGCCGGCAGCACGTTGCTGTGCTCGACGACTCTGATAATGTCGGGAGCATGGCCGCCCCCAGCCCCTTCTGTGTGGTACGTGTGGATCACGCGATCGCCAATAGCTTCGAGAGTCTGGTCCACAAAGCCACTTTCGTTCATGGTGTCGGTGTGAATCATGCATTGGACGTCGTATTTATCACAAACGGCCAGACATTGTCTGATCACCGCCGGGGTCGCGCCCCAGTCTTCATGGATCTTCAGACCAACAGCCCCGGCCAGGATTTGCTCCTCAAGCCCCTCTGCGAAACTATTATTTCCCTTTCCAGTGATGCCTATATTGACGGGCAGGTCATCGCAGGCCTGGATCATTCGCTTGATATTCTCGGGGCCAGGCGTGCATGTAGTGGCGTTGGAACCGGTTGAGGGGCCTGTTCCTCCACCCAGGAAGGTTGTCAGACCGTTGCAAAGCCCTTCCATCACCTGTCCAGGGTCAAGGAAGTGAATATGAGTATCGATTCCACCAGCCGTCACGATCTTGTTCTCCCCGGCAATGACATCGGTGTTGGCCCCAATAATTATGCCGTCGTCGATGTCATTCATGGTATCGGGGTTCCCGGCTCTTCCAATCCCAGATATCTTGCCGTCTTTGATGCCTATATCCGCCTTGAAGATCCCAGAATGATCGATAATCAAGGCGTTGGTGATGACCGTGTCCGCGCAAGTGTAGCCCTTTTCTCCCCCGGAGGATCCATTGCTGGTCTGGCCCATCCCGTCTCGGATGGTTTTACCACCGCCAAAGTTGCACTCATCCCCGTAGTACTTGGTCTTTCTGTAATCACGTTCCACCTCAACCCACAGATTGGTCAGTCCCAGGCGGACCAGATCGCCTTCAGTGGGCCCAAACATCTCACAGTACTTCTCTCGCTCCATCACACAGGGTTCAGGGACGGGCAACGTAACTGGCTTATCATCGTAGCAGAAACCCTTGGACCGGAGTCGGTCTTCAATCTCCTTGATATTTCCTGGGTCAACCTTCCCCGGGGCGATCCAATTACCTCCCTGGATGATCTTGTGCCCTCCGATCTCAACCAGGTTCACTACCTTCTTCTCTCCTGGTTCGAACCGCACAGATGCCCCCGCAGGTTTATCCAGGCGGTACCCGTACGAGTGAATGCGATTGAAAAGGAGTTTGGGATTTGTCTCAATAAAATGGTAATGGGACCCAACCTGCAATCGCCTCGTCAGTATCCTTCTCGAGAATTGCTAATATGGTTGTCACATATACCTGAATCGGCCGACTCCCACAGTTCGTGACTTCAAGACACCGTCTGTTCCTCCCTTCGTTCAGCGTAATGGGAACAGGCTTTCCGTCCTTCCCTTTCAAAAGGACTATAGCCCCAGGCGCTTTCTCCTCGTCATAGTCCGCCGGATCCGAAGACGGGAACGGATCGGACGGCGGCACAGGCAGGCCACTACCGTACAGCGCCTTTGCCAAATCCCCCTCTTCACCGGCGATAGGGTGTTGCACCGTGACGAGGTATGTGCCTGTTGGGAATGTCCCTTCTACCTGCAGCTGGCGGAGCGTGAACCACACAGAAGGGAGGACATGTCGCCTGCCGAGGATGGACCGGCCCAGGGACATGAGGTCCGCCACTGCATAGTGTCCGTCGCGGATGAGCTATGTCAGGGTCAATTAGGTCTGTGACAAAGCTAGCTGGGTGGTCTTGCCTCGTGGAGAACAGAGGATATCAGGGCCTACGATGCCCCCCGCAGAGAGCATTGCATCATCAGCGAAAGGATCAATATGATGGGGACAGCAAGGACTACGTACAGCAGCTTCAGCGTGGTTGAGTCGGATACCGCGTGATAGACGACGTTGAGCCAGAAGTCCGAGATGAGCGATGGTAAGCTTATCCAACTGGTAGCGACAACTCTGTCAGCGGAGGTCCAGTCTTGACAGCAAGCAGGAGCGAAGCTCTGTAGAGTTTTGTATGTACCTCCCTGGGAATCAAATGCATCCTGACGATATGGATTCAGTTAACAGGCTGATAATGGACTACGGGAGATAGATAGTCGTAGGTACTATGCAACAGTGACTATCTCTCACTTATAAGCTGTCAAAGCATAAAAACCACCACAAGTGCGGTTAGTTCCTTTCCGTATAAGCAGTCAATACTTGAATAACATCGCTGTAAGACTTGGATTCGCATCAGCTAGGTCGTTCTGTCATTCCCATGCTGAAAGGTACATTGTATGCGCTGGACAATGCATGCTGCTATAGCTGCAGTTACAGGTAGCATTTGAATTAGCAGGTTTCCTCACCTACCACAGTCCTAAAAACAACAGTCCGCATCAAGGCAGCGGGTGTAAACTCAACCCATTATCGGTGAGTTGGACTCGGGGAAGATACCAAGTCAGCTCCATTCATTCCGACTCTACGAAGTAGATCTGCTGTTTAAGATTCAAACTAATGCAGTCACACCAGAAGCAGATGGAACAGCATGGTGGTATCTGCATCTGCGATAGTCACAAAAGTCCCCTCTACTATTGTGATAGGTAAACACACAAGTACACTGTACAACTCACCCCGCATACAAGGTCCGTTCATTGCAGATGGATTCATCTAAATCTGCAGCTCTGGGGCAGGACTAGGACATGTCTCACAGCAGGCGCAGGGATCGACACTTGGAAAAGCGTCTCTGCCAATGGCATCTGCAGGAAATGGATGGCAAGCTTTGCTTTTTTGCTTACATTGTGCTTGGTGTCTAGCAGCGGGCGGGGTATTCTGAATCATGTATGAAATCTGAGAGTTTCTCTTTGTATTCGTACTGTATTTTACAATTCTCAGGACAGAGTGGAGTATTTGCAACATGGGTTGTATACTAGTAATATGTACTTTGTAACGATGGACTCGTCCGAAGACTCGCCTGAACTGATTCGGCAGCCGATTCCACCCGTCTCATAGCAGCAGACATGGCTGTGAAGGCTTCTTCCATCTGGTGGCTAGTGTGTCTACCATGTTAGTGTGGCTTGAGGCGATTCCCAGATTCTCGAAGTCTTCAGCGAGCAGAACTTTCTCGATGCCGGTCTCACTGTCGAGGACCGCCGCCTGATCGAATACATGGCCATACAGGAGGCCGGCCACGCCACCCTGCTGAGCAACATGCTGGGCGAGACCGCCCCACGAATGCACGTACAACTATCCTTTCAAGACGATCCGCGAGTTCATCGACTTTAACGTCAAGCTCACCCGCTGGGGTGAGTCCGGCACCTGGGGCTGGCTGAGCCATCCTCAACTCCAAGGAGGTCGCGACCATGGTCGCCGAAGCGGAAGCCATTGAGGCCAGGCAGCAGGCCATCTTCCGCCAGCTTCTTGGCCTCCAACCCATGCCCATGTGGTTCGCTGCCGGTATCCCCCAATCCTGGCACTGGACCCTGCTGGCCCAATATATTTCCTCCTGTCCGGAGAACAACACTCGGCTGGTTTGGCAGAATTTCCCCAACCTGTACATGGTCAACCAGGCCAATCCCAACCACATCAAACCCAATGCTACCGCGGCATGGGAAGTTGTCGGCAACTGCACTGGTGATCCCAGCAACTCGACAATCCCAGAGGCCCAGTCCCGCATCTACAACAATGTCATGGGCTATAATTGCGGCCCCGCCATTTCTCGCGACAAGTATGATCCGCTCACATTCCCCGGACGAAAGTCGAGCTCACCTGGGATGACCCAGGTCATGCTTTGGGATTGTACCAGGCTGGTTGATATAATTCTGTAATATAGTGAACTTTGTCATCTGTTGCAGTCGATAGAACTTTAATGTCAGTTGTATGAGGTTTCACGTTGATCAAATGAGTAGCCAGTCCTCCCCTAATTGTCCTATATCAAGTACCCAATTCGAGAGCCTGTTCTCGTTGCAGTTCTGAGTCTGCCAGTATGACTGCAAGATCTTCCCAGCGTTGACCGTGTTCAAACACCGGGTGACCGTCCAGAACCTCTCCAAAGCTCGCGTGACAAAGTCTCGTTCGATCAAGGAGCGACACTCAAGACCAGCAACAAAAATGGGCCACAGGATGCACTTGAACAATGTGGCGTCCTCGTTGAGTGCTTCGATGGTGCCAAAGAGGTTTTTGACCACCTGTTCTTGGGAGGTGACTTGATCAAGAAGCATATCTAGGACTCGCTGACCGTAGATGAGAGCACCAAGCTTGTAGCACTGGGCAAGAGTCGCTAGATTGCGGGTAGCACGTCCTGTGGACTGAGGGAGATTTGCAGCCCAGGAATGGCTATCAAAGCTGCGGACGGATTCCACCATGAAAGAAATGTTGCGGATACAAGTGTCTGACCCTTGTCCGGCATTAGCAAGATCTCGTTGGAGAGAGAAAAATTGGACCGCGTTGAGAAGCTGCTCCGGACAGCCGAGAAATGACTGTTCGGCGGTATCTGGGCCCATTTCTACTTCGTTCGCAGGAGGAAATTGTGATAGTAGATTCGGTCGTACAAACGTCGCACCCAGCGTCTCGATTCTAGTTTTCATAAGTATCTGAAAGCTTTTGAGTCAGGAGGTACATACAGGTAAATCTGCTTGGTGATAAAGCTCCTTATTTCCTGCACTGTCCGGCCGGGATCGTTGACTTGTGACAACGACTTGCTCAAGGACAATAGAGCCTTTGCGCCTTCCAGATGGACATTCCACCTATCGTTTCCTGACTCTACCAGATCAAGAAAGATGAGGAGGAAAATGCTCGCAACGGTTGAATCTGTCCTGCAAGAGCCTGGATCACCGATGGTTTGCGACAGGCCTTGTATCGCCTGATGTTTAAACACAAGTGCATCTTGTTGAGCATTATCCATCCAAGGGACTGGTGCTTCACTGCCATTAAAGGTCTGAGCTTCATTCGCTCTGTGCCTTGCTGCGAGAGCAAGAACCGCACTGAGCAGGAGTGGATCCTTTACGGCAAGAGAGATCAGGCTTCTGAATGGGTTTTGGTTACTGTCATAGACAATGAAGAGTTTGCATATGCGATCATTATCTTCTCATCGTTAGCTTAGTATTTTGACCAGCTGGCTCACTTACAATAGTCGAGATAATATTTCGACACTCGGTCCAAGCTCGAAACGGATACGTCCCCTAAGCCGGCAGGCAAATCTCGTTGACCTGAAATGGTAAGACACAGTGCAACAGAAAGTAGTAACAGAGCTTACCTTCACGTCTCAGCTTGATCAGGCCCTGCTCATCCCCTACCGGGCTATTTAAGCGACTGTACGACACACCCTGCATCTTGCCTCGAATGGCGACACCCTTGACCCATCTGATGGGTCGTTTCTGGTGACATTCGAATCCACTCTTTTGGCATTTTCTGCAGGGGATACTAGATCTGTCGCATTGTATTCGCCGATGCCGGCAGGTGTAACATGCTTCAAAGTCCACCATCGTGGACGTGACCATCAGCCGCAGATTTAGCAAATGATTTTATCTTTATGACATGATCCATCATTTGAGCTCGGCTCAGATATATATATCTAGCAAATGAATGATAGCTTTATCAAAGATGGGAAATTGAGTCGTGCAGAGTATGGAGTATGGATGTGGTTTCATGGAATTGCAAGACGGACGCCGCACGTGAGGGGTCTGGAACTATCACGTGCTTATCTACCACCTTATCTAAAGGTATTTCCTAATCAGGAAACCACTCTAGGGACCATCGCCAACGTCAGTAATATTTACAATAACTATGAAAAAACTACTTCTTATCCTTCAGCTCCCCCCTCTCCTTCACCATCTTCGCTATGCCCATCCCAACCTCTGACCCCAACCTCTCAAACCCCTCAATCACCCCCTCCCGATCCCCCTGCCCCATCTCCTGACTCATCTTAAACTTCCCCTGCAACCGCTCAATTCTCACCTCCAACCCGATAATATTCTTCTTGAGAAGCTCCACATACGTCTCCGGCGCATCGCTCACCTTCCACGGCCCCAGCCTCTCACCCCCCGTGTAACCCATAATCGCGGTCTCCGCATGCCGCGATAAATCATTCACCTGGCGCGACAGGAACGCACCCGTCTCCTCAGCCTTGGAGTCGCAGTACACGGTAATCTTGCCGTAGGCCTGCACGGCGGAGTAGTTCCAGGTGGGCACAACCTTGCCCGTAGCGGGTTTTGTGTCTTTGTAGAATTTGGGGGTGACGTAGTGGTGGTGTGGGCCGTTGAAGAGGATGAGGACCTCGTCGGGGAGTTCGAGGGACGTGGACTGGGTTTGTGCTTGGTGCTGGGCCAGAGCTTCCATTAGGGCTTTTGCTTGCGGGTTTTGCTTGGCGATGTGTCCGCGGAGAGTACCTGGGGTGGGATCGGCATATGCATTGTCGGTGGGTGAGTCTGGGATGTCGAGGACGAAAGGGATGTGGCTGGATTGCAGGAGGGGGTAGTTGGGGGATTTGATGGCGGTTGTGAGGATGCCGAGGGGATTGTCGCGGATGAACTGTTGGAGGAGGGGGATGTGTGTTTCGGCGTGGACGGCGCGGAGATACATTGTGGTCTGGCGTCTTTGAAGGTGAGATGGTTATTGTCAGTTCGTTGCAGGGACGAGGTTATATATCCGTTGAATGTCTATCGATTGAGTAAAGCCATCGTCGGGATATCGCTGGTATTCAATTGGCTCATGACGCCGAGTCAGATTATCGGCATAGGGCGTACTCCCTCGGGACTGCTAAGAGTCATTACCTTACTGTCACGGCAGAAAGACATTACAAACGGCCGATTTCGAGGATGGAGCATCTGCACCATGATTGGTCAAACTAGATTCATCTCAAAAGCTGGTGACCAATAAAAAGATGGATCTCTGAACTATTCCCTTTCCAGCAGTTGACAGGAGTGGGGCATTTCCTTCAGCCAATAGGCTCTCAGTGTCGATGCTCACATCAATCGATTATTGAAAATCGTCACCACTTCCATTTTAGGAAATTCTGGGGAGTGGATCTCGCGGGTTGCCACTACTATCAAATATGCTCTGTACAGTGTATCTTATAAATATGAGTAAACCGCATTCTCTGTCAGCTTCTTAACCTTCTTACCATACTTACACCAGCAAAATGCCTCTTTCACAAGACAGCCACCCTGCCACCAAGGCACTGCATGCCGACGATCGGCTCAACTTGGTGACAGACGTCGCACCTCCAATCCATCTATCGACCACATTTCGATACTCCAATGACCCTGACCAATTGATTCCGTCCGAGGATCCCATCGTAAGGCCCCGAAAAACACCCTGCAGGAGTCAACTAACTATCCCAGGCGGAATTCGACGGCAAGAACTACGTCTACTCACGGGAGTTTGCCCCCAACGCAACCCGCTTCGAGGCAATTCTCTCCACCTTACTTGGTAGCCACGCTGTCAGCTATGCCACAGGCCTAGCTGCGCTACACGCAGCCCTGGTGCTGCTGAACCCCCGGCGCATCTCCGTTGGCGAAGGCTACCACGGCAGCCACGAAGTCATCGGTGTACTCGCTCGGCTCACAGGACTCAAGAAGCTCCCCCTGGACTGCCCCGCCGAAGACCTCGACCAAGGCGATGTGATCCTCCTCGAGACACCGGTCAACCCACTCGGCACCGCGTTCAGCATCGAAGCGTACGCGCAAAAGGCTCACTCCCGCGAAGCCTACCTCATCGTCGACAGCACCTTTGCTCCGCCGGGTTTGCAGGATCCCTTCCTCTGGGGCGCGGATATCGTGCTGCACTCCGGCTCCAAGTATTTCGGCGGTCATAGCGATATGCTCTGCGGTGTGCTGGGTGTCAAGCGTGCAGAGTGGCATCGCCAGCTGCTAGAGGATAGGGTCGCGCTCGGCCATGTCATGGGGAACCTGGAGAGTTGGTTAGGTGTGCGTAGTCTGCGTACGCTGGAAGTTAGGGTGCAGAGGGCGAGTCAGAACTCCGCCAAGTTGATTGCTTGGCTGAATGGCGCGTTGACGGCAACGGACCCGGCACCGGGGAGTGAGGAGGAGATTGTGCAAAGGGTGCTGGTGAAGATTTACCATGCCAGTTTGCAGGATGAGGAGTGGTTGAAGAGGCAGATGCCGAATGGGTTCGGGCCTGTGTTTGCGATTGTCATGAGGGATGAGAAGCTAGCGAAGACATTGCCCAGTAAACTCGCTCTGTTCCAGCATGCGACAAGCTTGGGCGGTGTTGAGTCGTTGATTGAGTGGCGGGCGTTGTCGGATTCCAGGGTGGACCGAAAGTTGCTGAGGATCAGTGTTGGGCTGGAGGATTGGCAGGACCTGAAGATGGACTTGTTGTCTGCTTTCAAGGCTCTCCTTGAGGTTTAGCGGTTGTGCAGGTTTCGTGAATTTGTGGTCAATGGATTTCTTAGTATCGATAGACTTCATTCACCCACTGAGTCAGTCCCACTTGAGAATCTGCATTGTTACAAAGAACTTTATTCATTGTTTGAAACAAAGATTTACAAAATGGGTGCTCCTTTGTCTGAGACTCCTTAGCCTCATCTATAATACTAGCTATCCTGCTGTGTCCCAGTCCTACGAACATTAAGCTCTGCATCTCCAATGAAGTACCCAACACACATCATCGACCCCAACGGGGACGTGATCATAAGACTCCTCAACCCAAATGCTCCATTTGCTGTATCTGAGGAATGGGACTATGGAGAGGAAGACGAATTACCATCGTGGTTCGGATCGAGACAGTGGAATCCGTTGAACAACGAACAAGCAGTCGACTCGCTCCTTGATCTTTCTGTTGTTGGCCAGGACGACCAGAATGAACCACCAAAATCTGCAGCATCAGAGACTCATGTTTCCCTATTGGCGGCGACCGGTCTAACGAGAGTGCCTACTCGACGACAACGTCATCGTCCACGGAGAATGAGCGAAAGCGAATGTATTCTGAGTGAATATGCACGTATGTCATACTTCCTCGCACACGAGCGCATGCTAAGTGCTTAGGCAAACCCGCATTTAACGACGAATATACCTACCAAGTCTCATCGCGACATCTCATACTCGCCTCTCCATTCTTCCGCGCGGCACTGACAAAAGGATGGAAGGAGACCCATACCTTAGGCACCCACGGCTCTGTCACATTCACCGTCTACGACTGGGATGATCAGGCGCTCTTGATCTTCCTAAACGTTATACACGGACAGCACCGCGACTTGCCCTGGAAAGTAGGGTTAGAGCTCTTGGCGAAGATTACCGTCATCACCGACTACTATCAGTGTATAGACGCCATCCAGTTCATGGCGCTGTCTTGGTATGCTTTTTTGAAGCCGACGTGCTCGTATCTTGTGCGGCCGAGGGATATTGTCTTGTGGTTGTGGGTCTCGTGGGTGTTGCGTCTTCCAGAGCAGTTTCGGAAGGTTGGCGCAATGGCTATGGAGCAATTGGATCAGCGGATGGATTCGTTGGGATTGCCTATTCCGAGGAGGATTCTAGGTGAGTTTGTGCAATTGTGTCAGATGCAGTAGCTGATTGAGCTAGACGCTATCAATCATCAAGAAGGGTTTCCTGGTAGCCTTGAGGAGGGAAATCGCCTACTTTTTTGGTGGCTTTACCGGGGTTGGACTGTGGATGATAGACCGGGCTGTGACTGAGTCGGAAACAAGGGAAGTCTTTGTACATTTTGTACAGAATATTTTATCTGGCTAGCGACGAAGCTCGGTATCCGCGTAAGATAGGCATCAATTAAGCCAAATGAGCTTGTCTGCTTATGCAAAATCCAAGTTTAAACTAAACCAGGCACTGCAAACTGGTAGGAGTTGACCAAAATGAGTACTCATTTTATCAAAGATGATCGACCACCTCTTCCCCTCTCTGTAATGACACGGTAGTATCATGCATACTGCATACCATGACCAGGCCTTCTCCTTGCAGATAGATGCGGGGAATCCTCATCAGCTATATAATCCGCAGCATACTCGCAGATCATTGACACTTCAATGATCGTAACATATCACAATGTACACAACCAAATCCCTCCTATCCGCCTTAATACCAATAATGATTCCCCTCTCCCTGGGGTCGGTCTCCTCCCCCAATCTCCTCCCTACGCCCCCAATGGGCTTCAACAACTGGGCGCGCTTCATGTGCGACCTCAACGAGACACTGTTCCTCGAAACCGCCTCCGCAATGATCTCAACCGGTCTCTTGGAAGCAGGCTACAACCGCCTCAACCTAGACGACTGCTGGATGGCCTACGACCGCGCCCCAGACGCCTCCCTCCAATGGAACACGACCAAATTCCCCCACGGCATCCCCTGGCTGGCCCACCACCTCAAGACCCAAGGCTTCCACCTAGGCATCTACCAAGACGCAGAAAACCTCACCTGCGGCGGGTACACCGGCTCCTTCGGGCACGAGGCCCTCGACGCCCAAACCTTCGCCGCCTGGGGAATCGACTACCTAAAGCTCGACGGGTGCAACGTCTTCCCGGAGCACTCCCGTACCCTGGAGCAAGAGTACAAAGCCCGCTACGCACACTGGCACACCGTCCTACAGCTGCACCCCCCGCTCATCTTCTCCGAAAGCGCCCCGGCGTACTTTGCCGACCCCGCCAATCTGACCTCCTGGTACGAGCTCATGGACTGGGTCCCTGTCTTTGGGGAGCTGGCGCGCCACTCGACTGATATCCTCGTTTATGCCGGGCAGGGCAGCGCCTGGGACAGTATCATGGTGAACTATCACTATAACACGCTGCTGGCGCGGTACCAGCGGCCCGGGTACTTTAATGATCCGGACTTTTTGATCCCGGATCATCCTGGGTTGAGCCTTGAGGAGAAACGCTCGCAGTTTGCGCTGTGGGCGTCGTTTTCGGCGCCGTTGATTGTTAGTGCGTATATTCCTGGGCTTTCGGGGGAGGAGTTGGCCATTTTGAGGAACGCGGAGTTGATCAGGGTTGATCAGGATGCGTTGGGGTTGCAGGCGACGTTGGCGAGTCGAGGGGAGGAGGTTGATGTGTTGACGAGGAGTTTGGAGGGTGGGGATCGGTTGCTTACGGTGTTGAATCGGGGGGACGGGGTGGCGACAGTTAAGGTGCCGGTTGAGTGGATGGGGCTAGAAAGGGGGTGTGCGTATGCGGCTAGGAGTCTGTGGGATGGGAAAGTGCAGGTGCTGGAGGAGGAAATGGTGGTTAGTCTGAACCCGCATGCTACGCAGGTGTACAGGATCGCTTTGCTGGAGGAGTGCTCTAAGGTCATTCCGACGGGGATTGTGTTCAATACGGTGTCTGGGAACTGTCTCTCGGATGGAGACGGTGGGAGGGTTGGGTTCGAGGCTTGCAAAGGATCGGAGACGCAGATTTGGCAGGTGACTGAGCTGGGAAGTCTACGTCCACTGTCAAGAACGTCGTATTGCTTGACTGCAAGCAGTCAAATACCTGTCCAGTTGTGCACTGGACACCAAGACCAGAAGTGGACTTATGCGATAACCGGAAATCTCAAGAATGAACACACTAAGATGTGTTTGACGGAGGGCAGAGGACTATCTGAATGTGGGTTTGAACGAGATAGCCAGGTATTCGGTCTGCCGAGTGGTGTAGACATCAACTCCAGTTAGACAGACCTCAATAAGTTGCGATAGTAACCGCTCGTGTTGGCAATTTCCCGGTTGTATGGGATCTTCCAAGGTAGAACCCTTTGGGGGCATGACCTATCATAAACTGTACAGTATGTACTCATCTATATTTTGAAAGGATGAGAAGTCTTCGACGAGTTGTCGCCAAAGAATCATAGATCCACAAATTGATGAAAATCCTGAAAAGAGAAGTACTATGCTTGTGCAGACTGATAACTCTTAGTCGGGTCAAAGGTCGGCCGTTGTCGGAAGAGATTGAAGAGAGGAATGAATAGCCTGGGTTGGCCATCGCTGGTCTCCATTCCCTCAGTCTGTACCTGCTTCTCGAACCACGACCGAACATCCTCCCAACTTATCCACCGCCATTCATCACACTTCTCGGGCTCCAATATCTGAGGTTACTAATTAGTAGGGAGGCATCATGGACAGGGGATGGTTCCAACTCACCTGAGGCTGTGCGTTATCTTCCTTGACAATAGCACCCACGTAAACAGTGATATAGTGCTTTCCTTCGGCTTCCATGACATCGTTCGTAGCAGTCAGAAAACGTACGTCGTGAATTGAGAGGCCTGTCTCTTCGAGCACTTCCCGTACGGCGCAGGCTTCGAAAGATTCGCCGAATTCGAGATGGCCACCAGGAAATGCCCAAGTGCCTAGTCTACCATCAGAATCCACTCAAGATACTGTGAAAGTGAAAGACTGGAGTACCGGCACCGTGGCTTCCCTTCCTCTTGCCCAGGATGATCTTCCCGTCCTTGTTCAGAACAACGACTGCAACTCCTACTCTTGGATTCATTATGAACAGTCCACAGCAAGATCTGTATACTGAAATTTGATGGTAGTTTAAGCGCAGGTATGCCTTTTTGCCTTTTGTGGGTGTCTGTAACACAGCCTTCTGGTGAGTCATACGAATCACGCTGGGAGGCGGTGCTCACCTTATTCTCTGCTGCGGTTGAGACAATATTAAGCTCTAACACGGGTGTTTATGAGTGTTTAAGCTCTTTAGATATTGCTCAATGAGCTCAGTCTTTGACGGTGTTGAAGTTGGTATATGCGTGTGTTGTTGACGACTTTTGTGAAGACACTTTCCCATTTGGGAAAGCAGTGCATACGAATCAAACATCTCCAACTCGTCTGTCTCCATAACAAAGCATCTCCATCGACCATCATCTCCTCATCTTCGAATCTCAAGCCTCCATCTCATACATCGCCATCATGGTCATTTGGATTGAGTCTGGCCCGACAAATTGCTATACCAATCAGCAAGCTGAGAATTCGTTATCACTTGCGCGGCCTGCTGTCGGCCATCTGCCGCTCCTTCCCCTATCAAGCGCGAAACTACATTCCTTATCAAAGCACGCTGATAACGAGTAATGTCGGACCTTGCATCATGGAGATTGGAGACATCCTCCATATAGGGAGCTTCACCATCATTTTCCTGTCTTGCAGCTGGTGTCCTCAAATGACAAGCGCAAGAAATAGAGGGAAGATGCTGCCAGGTTCTCTTCACATATCAGTGACAATGATATCACTTGGGAAATGAAGTGCCATGTGACTTCGATTTGCATGTCCTCACCATGTGTCCTACTCCTGCCGCGCCATGAGCCGTGCCGCTCGAGAAGCAACATGGCTTATCTTTGAGACCCCGCACTGCAACTGAGTCCGGCTAAAATCAGATGGGCAGGTCAAGCTTTGGGGACAAGCCTTAAAAGAGACAGGACTCATGCGAAATCATTGCCTTCTATCTTTGCATCATCATCAATTGGCGGGTCATGACAAAGATTTTGTACCCTGCTAGAAAGCATCAACGCTCACAATGGCATCTAAAGAGCAAGCTCAAGATCATATTGTCAAGAAATCTTACGCCGGAGACCATCCAGAGGTAGAAATCGGCCGCCTGGATGAACTTGAAGTTGATCTCGACTCCACCTTGAAGGAGAACCAGGAGTATGACTACGAATCGGAACACTCCCCCTTTGCGGAAGGTTCGTGGTTGTGCGCGCTATGAATACAATATTCTCTACTCATTCCAAAGCTGTATAGTCCGAGCAGTGGTTCCTGAAACTGACGATCCACACATGCCTGTCAATACGCTCCGGATGTGGATTCTCGGCGTCGTCTTCACCATTCTGGGTTCGGGGATCAATCAATTCTTCTCCCTCCGTTACCCATCTGTGCACATTGTCTCGCTTGTTGCCGAGCTGCTTGCCTACCCATGTGGCGTCTTCCTCGCCAAAATACTACCCGTAATGACGATTAATTGCGGGCGATTGGGCTCTTTCCGCGTGAATCCAGATCACCATTTCAATATCAAAGAACATGCCATCATCGTGATCATGAGTAATGTCTCTTTCGGATACGGCAGTGCCGACTCGACCAACATCATTCAAGCCTCTAGCTCTAACTTCTACAACTTTGATCTCAAAGCGGGCTTCTCGGTGCTTGTTGTGATCTGCGCGCAGCTCTTAGGCTTCGGAATCGCTGGCTTAGCTGCGCCATGGCTCGTGGAGCCCGCGAGCATTATCTGGCCGGCTGTTCTATCGAACTGTGCAATGCTGGAAACTCTTCATTCTCGCACCAACTCCGTTGCGAATGGATGGAAGATCTCTCGCTTGCGCTTTTTTCTGTATGTCACTGCAGCCGGTTTCCTGTGGTACTTCTTTCCCGGGCTCATTTTCACGGCCCTTTCCTATTTTACCTGGATCTGTTGGATTGCACCCAAAAACATTATTGTCAATCAGCTTTTCGGCATGCAGACGGGACTTGGCCTGAGTCCCATCACCTTCGATTGGAGCCAGGTAGCGTACAATACGAATCCCCTTCTGTCTCCATCTTGGGCAGCCATCAACGTCTTTGCGGGCTTCGCAATCTTCTTCTGGGGGGTCGTTCCTGCTCT